TTTCTCTCTTTCTCTCTTTCTTTCTTTCTTTCTCTTTCTTTCCTTCCTTCTTTCTTTCCTTCCCTTTCTTCCCTTCCTTTCTTTCTTCCTTTCCTTCCTTTCCCTTTTAAAAATAGTTTACTTGGAAATATTTCCATTATTAGAGTTATTTTTGCCAAAACAATGTATGCCCCCTCAAAAAAAACTTGTCTTCTCACTTTAAAACAACATTGGAAAGTGACTATTTTACTTTGTCTAAAAATCTTCTAACAAGACCCCCAGGAGTTTTCTTTCTAAAATTCATTTGCTTAAAGTATAAAAATCCAATTTCTCCTGGTATATTTGCAAGGACTGTTTTATACACACACACACACACACACACACACACACACACACACACACACACACAAACATATACATATAATGTGACCGTTACACGTGTAGTAAAGTGCCATGAAGGAGAAACTCATCTTTCTCTAATGGGAGATGGTAGAGGATGTGACCTTGTCAAGTGTTTCCGTCCACAGGACATGAGCGAAGAGATGAGACCTGCAGGAAGAGTTAAGTTGCTAAATATAGAAGAGGAGGGAAAGGGCCATTTTACCTGAAAGGGCCATGATGTGTAAAGACCCTTTGGAAAGAAGGGGGATGATGCATCCAGGGAACTCAAGGAAGGCTAGTTTGACTGAAGCAGCGGGGAGACGGGGGCCTGGGGGTGGTGGACGCAGTTGGCTAATAAAGAGTTTGTTAATGATCAGCTGGGCAGACACTTGGGGGTTATGTCTACAGCCTCAAACTTCTACAACCGTGTGCTCGGTGCTAAGACACAGCAATCACCCTTTGCATCTTTGTGTTTATTTGCGAAAAGAAAGCAGAAATTTACAAGGGACTACACTGCTTAACAGGAATTAATTTTGCCATGGGATATGTCACTATTCCAAAAAATGTGTCGCAATGCTCGACTCATTAGATCTAAGTAAATATAAAAAGGTGAGAGGTTATCTTTCCTCCTATTGACTATCTGTTAAGGACCATTTGGAATGAGAACCATATCTGTAGAATTTTTTTAAATTACCTGGATACATTTGTAACGCGAGGAAGGGAATGAATAGTCAGGTCCTTTCCCGTTATTGGTCGTCAAGTTGCTTTTCTCCTGGAGGCGAGGGGCTGTAGTAATTATTGCAAGAGGAAATTATTATCTTTGAACAATACTCAGATATGAGCTGGATCTTTGGATCAGGACACTCAGATGTGAATCAGAGGGTAAAATTGTAAAATATGTCCCAGAAAACAAAGAAGGTATAGTAACAAACGAGAGATGTGCAGTGAAGGCTAAAGAATGAGTAACTGTCATGACATGACGTTGTCCTGTTTTGCCCTGGATGATAAACTAAGTATGAAAGAGCCTGAAAGACTATGCTTTTGGAGCAGTAAGAAAAAGAAAAGCTTAAATTATCCTATTGTCAGGTTTCACCTGACTCTGAAAAATGTTTCGTAGACTTAGGGTTCAGTCCGGGAGATTGTTGAGAATGTCTGGATCATTTACATTTGGGACAATTTATGCATTTGAGAAGAGCTTCTATAAGCCCTGGTCTGCATAGTCTTAAGTTAAAATTCCATGTCTTGTTGCCTAGAAATGTCATTTAGGGACATAAATTATGGCTTTGAATTTCTTTGTGATTCTCAAAGCAGCAAAAACAGTTCTCACAAACTGTGGTTGTGAAGTTCTTTATTTATATGAAGTTATTTTTTGTGAGTTTGTAGGCCTTTTTCAGGAATATTGGCCTTGTTCTAGACAGTAACCTGCATTAGAAGTTTTCAAATCTACAGTTCTTTGTAGAATCATGTCAAGGTGAGCCAACAGCAAGTACTTAGGGTGGAATTAATAAGAGTTTTTATTGATTCAAGGTGCTTTGCACCAGCTGTCAGACACGGACCAGACTCCTTAGCTATTCTTTACTCTGAATTCAGAAAGAATTACATCCCCATAGGACAGTTTTAATTGGAAGCACATTTTCCCCCCATCAGGCAAACTCGGGGTCACAACAGGTAACCTGAAAGATTGTTCCACCATATGTTAGCCCCAGAAAATATATTCCCTGAACATCATGCTTCATGAGGGGCGAAGATTGCATAAGTCTTAAGATAAACTTCCCATCAAGTCAGTTTACCATAAACCGAATGGTTGGGTTTCAGATGAAGGCACGATGCAATTTAGATTCTGGTGTACATTAGGAAAATGAAAATTACGTTATCCACCTGGTTGAGTGCCTGTGACTTTTATGCTAAGCTTCAGAGTAAGTATGCTTCAAGATATTCATGGATGAACATAATATATGGTTATATGTTCTGGAAACCAGAAAATGTAAGGCTTTTTGTTATAGTAAAGTTAAATTTATGGTACTATTTATTTTCGTAGACTTTTAGAAGAAGTCTATTAGTAACATCATTTCGGTTCTCATAAGAAGAAATGGAGGCTGTTTTAACAAAGTGTACTGTTCTACATTAACATTTACTTGTAAGTGTATGTGAAATAATTTTTGAATGTGCATGTGTAATCCATTAAGTACTAAATATAATTCTTTTTACAGTTCATGAGGAAAGTTTTAAAAATTTGAAGCCTTCAAAAATGGTAAGCCTCAAGATGTAAGTTTTCAATTGTGATAAAAATATTTCCAACTCCTGGCCATGTAATTGCCTGGGCATGAAGAGTTATCATCAAGACTCCAAATATCTACCTTCTGTTCTATAGTATAAATTAATCGTAATTATGCATTTGTCAGTTTGGGCCATTATAACAAAGTACCACAGACTGAGTGATGTATAAGGAGCAGGAATTTATGTCTCTCACTTCTGAGGTGAGAGGTGTGGGATGAGGATGCATGTTTGGGGTCTGGCGAGAACCCATTTCCAGGTTGCAGATTGTTGGCTTCTTTTGCTATCCTCACACGAGGGAAAGAAAGCTAGAAAGCCCTCAGGGGTCCCTTTTTATAAGGGCACTAATCCCATTCATGAGGATCCCACCCTCATGACCTAAATGACCTCCTGGTGGCACACCGCCAAATGCCATCATGTTGGCGGTTAGGATCGCGACATGTGACTTTAGAGGGGTACAGCCATTCACTTGACAGGAATATTGAAGTGGATAAATCTGAATGTTGCTTTCCTGTCAAATCCAGGATTCCAAGTAAAGAGAGTCCAAAGAGACATGCTTCCAGAATGGTTTAATGCTGCCATGGTGACGATTAATTTGTGACAATATTTGTGTAATTATTTAGTTGAAGTCACCCCCCGCCCCTTGACTTTCAGCCCTTGACTGTCACATTAAGATCCAGTGCAAGAACTGGTGTTTGGGAGTGTCTCAATATTTGTTGAACTAATGATGGCGTCTTCATCTACGCTCAGTGGTGCTATAAGAAACCCCACTGAGCGTAACAATGAGCAGACAAGAACAATTTTTGTATGTAAAAAAGAATTAAACAACAAAGTCCTATGGCAAAGCCCAGGGAACTATATTCAATACTTTGTAATGGCCTATAATGAAAAAGAATATGAAAAGGAATATATATATATATAAACTAAATCGCTATGCTGTACACCAGAAATTAACACAACACTGTAGATCGACTATACTTCAACTAAAAAACAAAACAAAACAAAATGGAAGGAGGGAGCTTACATCCTACCCTATTCTCACTTTATTTGCCTGGCCCATGCAGACCCTTGGATGTGCAATTCTTGCGAATGATCAAATAAAATTCAAACTACTTTAAAAGAAAAGAGGAGAAAAAAGAAAGAAATGGCTTCCAGAAAACCAGAAAGCTGACTATTCAAAAACCCAAGAACGGTTGTAAGATGGAGAAGGACTGTAGTCAGTGACAGGTTAATGAGGAGGTCCATGGTTTAATTTCATTATCACTGTTCTAGGTTCTATTTCCGTGTGTGAAAGGATGGCATCTTAAAAAATGCCAAGGCAATTCACAGATTTCATCTTGATTCTGCCTTTGGTTCTCATACTTACCTTCATGTTCATACTTTTTATATTTCAGAAATCTGGTTTGACTTCTCTCAGCTACCCCAGTTGACCCCCTCATTTTATTGGTTTTCTAAACACCTACTGATAAGTGCCTCCAGGCTGCAGGTTAATTAGCTCCTAATGGGAGAAGAACATTGGCTCATTTGCAGCTGCTTTGGTCCATTGGCTGTTGGCTCTCCAAACAAGGGGAGTGGAATACTCACCATCATTACATTGGATTTTTTAAAAACATTTGGGCTTGTAACGTGGATCGTTTAGCTTCTTATTGGATTTTTATATTTAAGTATTCACCCCCTCCTTATCTCAGAGGGATTATAGAAACATAGGCAGTGCAATAAACAGGGATAGAGACTGGGTTTGGAGGCAGAAAACTCCAGTTCCAATCCCAGTTCAGCCTTTTAGCACCCGGGTAAACCTGAACAAATCTCTTGATCTTGCCAAACTCATTGCTGTTCATCTATAAGAAGAAACACCTCGTACATACCAAACAGATCTCGGATGAGTATTAAATATATGTCTTAGAAGACTGCCACGTTCAGAGTAATTACTTAAATAAATGTTACCTGTTTTGATAGACTGTATTGTTATCCCCAAGTATCCCCTGAGCCTCTCTGGAGGAAGATTATACTTCTTGCCTCACTGATTCTGGCGGCCATTATGGCTTACTTTGGCCAATGAAATGTCAGCGGAAATGACATGTGTTATGCTGGATGCAGGTTTTAAGACCCAGCA